GGAGTGTTAAACTGAATGACAGGTAGATTCTACTGTATTTGTTTACGTTGACAACTGTCCGTTTCTTAGAAAGGGCGACATCCAAGATAAGCACCGATGTCTATACGCCGTATTTCCGGCATAGTTACTTGAATATGCGATTGAGGCCATCGAATCAATAAATTTTAATATAACAAGAGCGCGTGACTCTTTGGCAAACAGGCCAAATCGTCATTTTTTGTTTGTTTACTGGGCCCTGTATATATTGCTCATAGGTGAAACCGGGCTATAACAAGAGCGCGTGACTATATTAACACATGGTTTTGGTCCCGTTATAACATGGGCAAAAGAGGGAAAAACAGCCGATTTTATGCTATAATATCTAAAAATGTACGGATTTGTACGAAGTTGATGAAGCTTGTGTGTCTTGAACAGGTTCAGAGGTATTATATCATTACAAAGGGCGGCCATTTTATATTTACAAAGGACGCAGATCATTAAAACCTATAATTACACTTTTAAGACGTTATTGATTATTTTTGTTTAATTTCTTAATTTTACAAAGCCATATAAACATGACTATTGTTATTGACACTCTGAATATACCTAACATTTTTTTTGACAAATTTTAAATGGGTTCTTTCTACATTTGCTCGTCCTCTGGTATCAGGATGCACATGAATACTCTCGGTGACATTATTTAAGTACTGAGCATTTTTTTTCTAGTTTTTTTTTATCCCAAACTACGTTGGTACGGAGGTGGCATGTGTGTGTCTTTGTTTATCTATTGCGCATACGATACTATGTAGTAATTCGTACGCATATATTATGTCTTGGACAATAGTTACTAAGTCGTGCACAGAGTAACTGAGTCGTGCACACGAGATGATATTTCGTGCGCACGAGTTACGAATATAAGAAAAGATATTGCCAAATTCCATAGCTTTCGGCAGATTTGTCTTGTCACTTACTATAGTAAATGGATGCTTGATAGTAGTTTCGGTCTCGATGATCAAGAGGAGATTATTTTATGATAATTTGACAATTATTGGCAGGACATCGTGCCGATCGTCCGTGTCTAATCCAAGAGGGGTCTGTAGATCGAGCCGTATCGTTTGACTCTTTATTTTCGCAACATTATTAATGGAAATGACTGTGTGCTTGCAAAAATGGAGATATGTATAATATTTATGGAGCATGATTTAAATCGCTTGAATTAGAGTCTGCTTTTATTGAACTGTCAATTATGAATAAATTATAGAACTCATTTAAATATTCAATCTCACTTCGGTTCTGTTCTTCTTTTTATGAGAAATAATATATAACTAAATTGTTGACGGTCACACCAGGTTAATGTAAAGATTGTCGTTACATCCACAATAGCAGAGCCAGTGCAGTGATTACCTGATATGTTAAGGGTCTGTGATTAGATCTCTACTTATTCTATTGCTTGAGACATACTTCTTCTTTACGTTTACCGATTTTTAAGAAATTAACCGATTTCTACACATATTGAAAGCAACTTAGAAACGTTTTTTTCTCGATTTGTATTTTGTTTTGCGTATTTAAATGGTACCTATAGAATTTTACTGATTAATTGAATTTTAAATATTTATTCTTAAATCCATGTTATTTTAAGAATATAGACATTACAAAACTAAGCGCAAAATATTTAAAAACAAAACGGACAACATAAAAAACAATCATAGCTTCAATAACGTTGAAAGACATGGCCCTACGTGGTCTCGATCTTACAAAACGTAGGGCACGTTGAAATTATAAATCTGTAGTTTACCTTTTGAACTATATAACTCTCTCAGAGCTCATAACGGAACTTACCGAAAATCAAACAATCTTAATGGTTAAACAAAATTATTTAAAAAAGAACACATGGAGTTTACAAAGGAAAATATGCAAATCATATAAGAACAATTCTAACACTATCGGAAATTTTTCTATATAAACAAAGAAGGCCCGAAACGTGCATTATTCTACAACAATGCACTCGCCGTTCTTATTATCACCCTTTTTTTCACATTGAGGGCGCCATTGTGTTTGAAAAGTGTTGTTTACGTGACGTCATAATGTGGCGCCAAACAGCACGTACAAAACAATCAAATCAAGTACGCTTTTTTAATGTCGCAAACGAGCTAAGTTTTACATTTATTTCACTTTTAATAATTTGTTTTTCGCTTGAAAAATTATAGAGTGAAATAAAATAAACAAACAAAGTTTTATCAACGTTTTCAAAATTCGTTATTCTCAAAAATGTTTCTAACCACGGTAGATTTAACGACAGTTTTTTTGCAACCCACTGGAACAGCCTTTAAAGAACGTTTCTATTGAAATCTCTGAGGCGAAAAAAATTTTAACCATCAAGCATAAAGTCCAACTTTATAATAATAATTTTATTTTTCTTGACGTGTTAGAATGGAAATAGATATTAATTCTTCGTACATTATTGTAGAATAATGCACGTTTTCGTTCAAATGCTTTGTAATTAATCGGCCTTCGTGATTATATTAATACGCATTTGAACTCAAACCGTGCATTATTCTACAACAATGCACTCAGAATTGATATCTATTTCCTAAATATAACAACATAAAAACAATCATAGCCTCAATAATGTTGAAAATAGATAACAGAAAAAAACATGTACATTCGCGGTCCAAAGGGGTCTAATACTATGTATAGTCTTATAAAAAAGTAAAAAGTTAGATATGCAAATTGACATGCAAATAGATTTATTTTAAATAGTGTAAAACCTGCCCTACTGTACGGATGTGAGATATGGGGTTTTGTTAATATTGATTGTATTGAAAGAATAGAGCTTAAATGTTAAAATATATTCTAGGTTTTAAGTCAAGTACACAAAATAGTATGGTGTACGGTGAAACGTGTATAAAAACACTATCTATTGAAATTAAATGTTTGTTTGTTTGATTCATTTTACGCCTTTTTCAACAGTATTTCAGTCATATAGGCGGGTAGTTTCCTAACCATCGTTCCTTGAGAGTTACACCAGTACTAGACTACCTTCCTCCGCGCTAAACTACCAAAGCATCTCCCGGGGATCGAACCCACGCCAGAGAGGTAACTGGATTAGAAGTCATCGACTCTAACCCCTCGACCACGGAGGCGGTTGAAATTAAATTTAGAATTATATCATATTGGTCTGACTTAGTCATACCACGACAGAACAAGTTACCGTGTTTGCTATGTCGTCTTTCCTTAAATAATTTTAATAACTCCCAGACTGTATCTACATGTAGATTAAGATTTAAGTGGATAAAATTTGTTCAGAATATTTTGTATGAATAACATTTGGAATTACCATGAATTCCATAACTTTAAATGGTTAACGATGTCAGTCAAACAAAAATTATCAGATTTATTTTTAAATGAGTGGTATTCTGATATTGAGAATTCTAGTAAATGCATAAATTATAGATTATTCAAACATAATGTTTGTTTTGAAACATATCTTGTAAAAACTCCATCAAAATTTTTACAATACATGATAGAATTTAGAACAGGAAATAATAAATTGCCAGTAGAAACCGGAAGTTGGAATAACATCGAACTAAACAGGCGTGTCTGTACACTGTGTGATATATCAATTAGTGATGAATTTCATTATATTTTTGGCTGTCCGTGTTTTGATGACAGCAGGAAACGTTTTTTGAAACTTAACTATTTTTTAAGAAACATAATATGCATTCTATTGATCTTCTTATGAACACTGATGTTAACCTTCCAGATTACAAAAACAAACTTTGTTTATTTATTTAAGAAATTATATTAAAAATCAAATGAGCCAAAAATTATATAAATTTAATGTTGTGGAGAACCCTATTGAAATATTTGTTGTAATTATGACTCTCCCGTAATATTTATGTTAACAATTTATATATCATGTTAGTTTGATACTGTCTTATTCTATTATGTACATGTAATTGTATTATTACCTCATGTTGTCATGACAGTATATACATGTAATTGGAAAGGCAAACAATACGAAAAATATATCGAAGATAAATATATAAATGCGTATAATGTTCATTGAATGTAACAACAGTATACAAATGACAGCTTGATATAATAAGACTGTATAACTTAGATAAAGAATAATTATTAAAGTGACATTATTTCTTTAGGAATAGTTTACCTTGTAAGAACTATCGTTAAAGCATGTACCTTTTGTTATATGCGTTCATTTTATTTATTAACATTTTTTCATTGCTTGATTGATCCCTTAGACAGCAGGGAATACAATTATTTCATGAGGCTAACACTTTCAAGCTGGAAGAAGATTTGCGTAGAGAAAATATTTTTTCTATGGTTTAGCTAAAACTGTAGTTATGGTTTTCAGATAATTAGTTTATTATACAGTGTTTATTTTAGTTCAAGTGTGGTCGATTGTGTAGGAACAAACAAGTACTTAGCGGAGTTTAAAGTTTTCTACTCAATGATATAATGGCTTGCCCCTGGCGGGGTTTGAACCCACTAGTCTAGAGATGGTGGATCAAGTATCAGACAATTTAAATTCAACTCAAAAAGGCAGTGTGCATAACCGATGCAATGGCTATGCTTATGAAGGTCAATTGTCAGTCATATTTGGGAATCTTTAAAATTCTATAAAAGTAGACAGTATTATGTTGCATACAATACATGTTTCATCAACTGTATCTGCATTCAACTGTTGATTATTAGCCCAGCAGACGACAATTTCAAGTTTCAATAAATGGCCGCTTATTTTATGTTTTATGTCATGCTTTGCGATGCTTTGATTTCCTGTACTATGTTGACCTGTGGTAAAGACTTATCTCACACTTAACAGTCGCCTGTTTATCTCTAAAAGAAAGATGACCATATATGATAGATAAATGGAAAATGGAAACAAAAATCTTGAAAATATAATACTTTTTTTCTAAGCATATATACAAATTTACTTTAAAATCAATGCTTTAATAATATGCTTAGATATATATCACATTTATAAAAATATTTTCATTCAGACTGACCTGCTTCGAAAATGCTATGATGGAAAGTGAGGAACTGGATTCAGATCTGTTTACGAATTGGGTGCGAGGCTCTAAAGGACTTGAATACTTACAGGAAGGACTTCAAGAATTTGTTGGAGAAAAATTACTGCAATGTCGTGATAATACCCTTCAAAAAATAATATTGACATTACCATCTGTAGCACCACAACAGTGCAACCAGTGTACGTCACATAATCTTTCTCCTGACCATTTGAACACTACAAAGGCATGTAACAAAAACACATGTCACCAAAAAAGCCCCGCAAACTGTTTTGGAAGCAGACCAGGCGGACGTAGGAAATGCCCTGACAACATTTGTAGTAAATTGTACGACTCCATTATAGATGAGCATGTATTTATGGACCCCTTATGGAAGAACACTGATCCAAGTACGTGGTGTTCGGATCCTCATGGGTGGAGCTATGCAAAATGTTTCCAAACAACTAAAGGTCCAGGGACATCAGCTCAAGATACAGATGCCGCTGGTCTGCTAAGCATTATCATAAACAACAAGTCCATACAAACCTTTGTGACCAGTATTAATCTTACCAGTTCGTTTCATTTGGTAAGTACAATAATTTATAATTATAAACATTTTTTGTATTATTAAACATTTTCTTTCATTAATGAATAGACAACATGGTGAAAATGATCATTTAACCATTTTATTATTATAAGAGATAGATCAGTTTGTTTGATATCCATATAAATAATTCATCAGGAATTAGAACTGAACAAGTAGAAAAGGTAATATTGTTTATTTTGAAACATATATTTAAGAAAACAACAACAAACAAAACAACAATGAAACAATAATGGAACTTATTTGCTTGGATTATTCTTAATAATTGTTTGTTTTCAGGCGAGAGACTTCCGAAATGAAATCTTGCATAGCCCAAAGCTTGAAATTGATGAAACAACTCTATTCTCTTATTTGGACGCGTTCATTGCAGTTCTTCAAGATCCAAAGTCTCTGATTAACGATGAGGCATCAAAGAAAGCGGTTGATAAACTTACACAGGTTTTTAATATCATATTACAATTAGAATCTGATTTAATAATGTGATAAGTGAGTATCTTTTTTTATACAAAGTGCTCATTGAACTAAGGGATGCCATCCGACTATCTTTGATACAATTTGGTATATTTCCTTTAAATGACGACCGAATGGCATAGTATAAGTGAAGCATTATATAATTTACAATAAGTTGATAGCTTATAATAATAATTTTTTTTAATTTTTCTTATACCGATACGTTGTGTTTCATGTAAATGTAAACTTGTCTCAAACTGAATATTTAACATTGTACTACACACTAATTGTTCAAGGGACAAGCCAATAGAAAGCTTTCAAAATGCTGCTAAAATAATAAAACAAGATTTCCGGCCGATAGCTAAAGTTAGGAATGACACATGATACTAAAACAAAGTACATACATGTAGTTTATTTGGGAAAGCTGTTCAAAGATTGCCTTTTGGCCTCGTAGGGTCAAGGTAAAGGTCACTGATATTAAAAACAGAAAAATGTCAGCAGTTTGTATATTAAGAAAACAAAAGGAATTATACATGTAAGAGATGAATAAAAATTGAATATGAAAAGCAACATAAATGGCGTAAACTGTGGGATATTTGACCGACAAGTTGACTTTCAAAATATCAATTATTGTCATTAATTGATTTTTCCTCTTTAATTGATTGCGGATCTTCTTTAAAAGACATTATTATAATGACTGAGAATAAGTTGTGAATTTTTTTTATGATATGAAGTTTTCTGTTGTTGGGAGTAAATATTGCTTACAGTGAAGTAATTCAGTTTTTGACAATAGTTATAGATAATATAGTAGTCGCCGTAATAGCTCAATCGGTATACAACACAATTATATATGCCTTTTACATTACAGTTAAAAAACAACACAATACACATAAGCCAAGGAGACAAAGTATCACTTCTTCAGATGAGAAATAATGCGTTGACCGAACTTGACGACAAAACAGCAGAATCATTGCGTAAACTCGATGAGAAAGCATTAGCTGTTCGGTATAAATTGAAACAAGATGTAGATTCATTTAAGGATGCCGTTTTAGCTGATGTTAAAAACGCTGGGATGTCGGTAAAACAATCAATTATTGTAGAAAAAAAAGTTGTCATATTGGACATTACCACAGCCAAGAAACAGGGAGTACAGGACATTGCTGGGAAAACTACTGATAGTATTTCTGAAATAAACACAGCCGAGAAACAGGCAAAACAAGACATTGCTGGGAAGGCATCTGAGGGTATATCTGAAATAAACACAGCCAGGGAACAGGCAAAACAAGACATTGCTGGGAAGACGTCTGATGGCATATCTGATATAAATACAGTCGGGGAACAGGCAAAACAAGACATAGCTGGGAAGACGTCTGATGGTATATCTAAAATAAACACAGCCGGGGAACAGGTGAAAAAAGACATTTCCGAGGCCAAAAAAGATATTGATGGACAGAAAAATGAAGCAATCTCTGATATTTGTGATAGAAAAGAAGACGTTTTATCTGCAATCACCAAGGCTGGTACAGAAGCAAAAGCTCTGGGGGCTAGTGCTGCTTTGTCTGATATGAGCGGACATGTAATTATATCTTTTATTAATTTATTGCCTTTGTTTTGTCAGTCCAAATTTTGAAAAATATTTGAATTACAAACTTAAAATAGGTCTTGTTACGACAGAATGCAATGCCTAAGATAAATAACTCTATCCATAAGATTTTCCAGAAATTCCCTTTCTTATTATTCATTTTTTTAACCTTTGTCCAGATCATAACCCGAAACTATCATAGGTAGATAGATCTTGCGATACGCCACGCCTTTAATGGGTTTTGTGTAATTGCCGTTTATTATTTTCAGTTTACATTTTTGTCTTGTTCATAAGGGTAATAGAAATCATTCAGTGTAGAGCGTAAGAATGGTACTTCTGTCCTTTATTGTCCCCCGTCCTTTCAAGAAAAGGATATATAAAGAAACAGTCCCCATCCGTCTGTCCGTCTACCAAACCTTCGTATTCGGTCCATAACTTAGCCTTTTATCAAAACTAATTAAATAATTTTGCGAACATGTTTGTTATAATAAGACAATGTCTCGTGGTGCGCAACACAAAATGCCTACTTCAAAGGTCAATTTAAAATTGTGTCATAAGGTTGTTATTGTGTCAAGTCCATACTTTTCGCACAGATGAAGGAACTTTGAAATTATTGAGCACAAATGATCAAAATAATAAGACGATGTGTCATGTGCAACACCCGGACCCTCCCTCAAAGATCAAGGCCATCTTGAACGACTAAACTTCACATAGTCTGTATAAGGTATATTTGGTGTCCGTTCAATATCTTTTTCAAAAATCAAGATATTTTAAATTATTATTGTACAAATTTCACAATAATACGACGATATTTCATTCGCAACACTTGGACAGTTACCTCCAAGGTCAATGTCACAATTGAAAGTCAAATCTTTACATGGTCTGTCATACTGTGTATTTTTTCCTGTAAATAATGTTTTCTTCGTTAAATTAAAAGTTATTTTTAAATCACTTGGCACAAATATTCACAGTAATGTGCTGACGTGTCATGCACAACTGCCAGTCCCTACCCTACTTACCGGCCGGATACACTTTTGGTCAAATCTCAACAAAGTTCGTATAAGGTAAGATCCAAGGAAAGTCCGGTCAAAGCACATAAAATGCCATTGGTGAATCGCCGTTAAACCTACATCGATGAAAATGTCACGAAATGGACACAAAATATATAACAATAATAATATCTTCATTTTCAATTACAAACTACTATTTTGCTTACGATGTGAAGAAAATAACGCTTAAATATTTCATCAAAAAACATTCTAAATATCATATTTTTATTTTACAGGGATTGCAATGCCGATCAAAGAACAAAGCAGGTACTTTTTTATCTTTTATTAAAAAATAAATTAAGATGTTTACTTCTTAAGTTTAAAATTCCTTTTTATTATTAGATAATGAGATGAAATATCTATTAAAGTGGATATGTACTGTGCAGATAGCTACAAAACTGCCAATGATTTAACTGTGGAATAAGTTAAATGTGACGTTACATGGTATATTATCTTTAAAACTTGCTGAAACTTACTGAGGTTTCCATGATACCAATAAAAAACTCTGTAGCCGGAAGTTTAAAGGCACATTATGCCTCAGAAATGCATTTGTTTCTATTTTGTTTTTAGAAATGTCAATCATGTAAGTGAGATGTTAAGCTACGGAATATATTAGCGCTTTACGTACAGTAGAGAAATGAGTCATGAAGGTATCAAAATGTCAAAATGGCTGCCTACAAAATATTAATTCTTTATAGGTATTATAACCATTTCCAAAAGAAGCAAAAGTTAATTTATGCATATGGAAAATAAGATGGGTTTTTTTTGAAACTGAAGCATTATAAAGAAATACAATTTCTTGACAAATAAATATGATAGCTTTATGAAACGTAATGGGCATAATGAGCCTTTAAAGTAAATGCAATAATGTGTTCGTTTTTTCCTGTTGCCGTTCGGAAACTTGAACACTGGCTTTATATATTTTTATTGATAATTCTCATACTTGCACACAACAACCCTTTGGGCAAGACCTTCTTGTAGACACGATTGAAATTCCCCTTGTATTCTTAATGACATTGAACTTAAATTTGATTAATACTTGGGCAAAATGTTTAAGATTCAAATATAACATTGACCTATGAATGACCTTGACCATCAAGGTCAAATATTGAATTTAGCTGAGATTGTTATAACTTTGTTATTCATTTACGAATTTGATTTATACTTGGACAATAGCTATCGAACCTTTATAATGAACCCGTATGTTGAATAGTTCAAATATATCTTTAACCTTAATTTGACTTAAAAATAATTTGAAACATTGAAACGCGATATTTACACTACATATCAAACAATGTAACGCTGTAGGGAAACATTAACTCGTTGTATAAAGAACCAATAGATACTGCTTGATTATTCTGACAGTATCTCATTTATAAATTGCAAGTTTCAAAGTTATTATTTTTCTATGGATAGATATTACAGTGTGTAATTGATGAATCTACTCTTTTTAGGTATAGTTTTCTTTCTGTTGATGTCACAGGTGTTAGCTATATCGGTACCCATTTTGCAAATTCTTTTAAAAAATGTAACCTCGTTGCACGTGCACATTTGATTCTCTTCTTATCGGCGACATACCACGGAACGTATGTCGTTGTGCAGAAACCTTAATGTAACCAAAAACAGTTTTGAAGGTACCAACATAAAACTTTGAATACTTACCATGACAAGGTCCAGTTGTTGGCCAAGGTGCATAATTCTGATATAATTCTGAAAGCACTGTGTTTTGAGTTATGTCCCCTTTTTATCATAGACGACCGTTGTGTTGAAATACTTGTAGGATACTGCGTCTTCGCGCTCTCACTCGGACAATTTTTGTGGAAAGTATAATTTAATTATAAGAAATAGTTAGAGTATCAAAATATAATGTAGCGCACCAAGGAATATCTACAGTCCTGTAGGTAATTGTAAGAAACGTTTATAGATTTATTGTCTATAAAAATAAATAGGCAATAAGATATAATTGCAAATATAATTAAAACCTTTCACTATTTATATAATTTCATTAAAATGGAAAATGCTTCCAAGTGAACTCGATTTTTTCAGAGACGCCCCCTCTCGGACTCAGAAAGTTTGGTGTTTTCATACCTTAACGAAATACATGAAACACACTTTAAGATCTATGCACTTTAAACACACCTTTACTAAAGATTTATAGTAAATAATTTAAACATAAATATATTAAATTGAAATGTACTTTTTCACTTTTTTCTCCTATGTCTTGATTGTATTCATAGATCACCCAAAAGACAAATAGTTAGATATATAAAGATTTTGATTCAGTAGATATGTATTTTTAAAGCTGCACGCTTTCAGATGAACAAAAATATTTCGATAAAATCAAACCTGAGAAAAATGTTCAAAGATTTTTGGAAAAATATAAAGTTTCAAAATTTTAGTAGTAATTTATATGTTATGTGCAATTAATGACAAATATGTCAGTATTTATAACTATATTTCTACTGCGTTACTAACGCAGTAAGGGCTATTTCTGCATATTGTGGACCTCTTTATGGTTATTTAAATGAGTTTTATGTACCATTGATAATGTGTAAATTGAATTCTTTTGGTAACGTCAAAATAATATACTGTTAAATAAATTTCAAATGTTTTTTATGAAAATTAGCATGAATCTGGAATCTGGAGGCGTGCTGCTTTAAGATAAATGTAATGCTTTTTTGCTTTGGTGTACTTCATGGGCAGCATTAGGGGCCTGCATCTATTCTATAATTGCTGAATATAATATTTTGTTCATAATTCAAAACATAATGACTTAATTGTATGTTGAACTTGTGATTTAAGGTATAAAAACATCAAAATTGTAAGTTTATGAACATGATGAAGTCTATCTAGCGGTGATGTAAATCATTTTTGTCGCGAATAAAAAGTTAAAAAAATGAGTTGCTGCTATTTCATGGCACATTACATGTATTACATAATTGACAACTTTGACAATTTAAAGACTGAAAGTTATGCTTTTATGACCTTGAAAATAACAAAATAAAATAAATCAAAAACCAATAATAATAATTAATATCTTGGTGTACATATTTTGCTGAAATAGCATTTGATAATTACTATTGTTCATTTTAGGTTTTGTAATAGATATTTACCTTGGCTGAGTATTTTGTAGAAACAGCATATTAACTTAATTGTGTTTTAAAATGTGTGCGTACATGACAAGAGATAAGGTTGACTATAGATGAATCATTAATGAACCAATTCTGGAACGATCCTGCTCACTGAACTGGGAATCTTAGCAATGCCATCTATATGGAAATAATATAACACACAGAAAGGTGATATTAATGATAACTGTCAGTTTGCAGGGTTTTTCTTTCCTTTGGGGGAGGGTGTTAGTAATCTGTATCTATACATATTAAACAGAACAGTAAATATTATTTACGTGCCAGTTTTTATAATAGAAAATAAACAAAACACACACACACGCACGCACGATTGTACACACAAAACAAAACAAGAATCATAGTTGTCTTTACCATCGCATTTGTCTTTAGTAGCATACAGCAAAATCCCTTGCCAAGCAGGAGAAAAATATCTTATAAGGTAACCCATACTGTAAAAGGCAGAATTATACAATTCAACGATTTTTGTTAGTTCTACCAAGATATGCAAAAAATGTGATTTTAACTAACATTTATGATTCTTTCTTTTATCCCCTTAAAGTCGGCGGGGGACAAGGTACTAGTCTTCTTTCGTCCTTCCATTCCATAATTTTATTCGGAGTATAGCTGGAACAAATATTTGAGATATGAACGCTGGATATATCGCAGTTAGGAGGAATGAAATGCACAATGATATGCATCAATTTGAAGTTATTGCCCTTTGTTCAGTTTTTTGCATAATTGTTTAGACAATACCTCATAAAGGATTTGAACTTTGTTTTTAAACTTCTTTGAAGGAAAGATTACAGTAAAGCAGAAA